ATCATTCTTAGTTGCTGTGTTGCCAGAGCTAAGAAACTGTTCACTATTGGGGAAGAATTGATCCTGTTTTCTACTAAGGACATTTGTCATGAACTTTTAGGAGAGATTACAGATCAAAAAGTGACATATGCTAGTACCATAAGTAGATGAATTGATGAGATAATAGAGTATTATTAGAGAAGATTAATTAGTCATCATGGTACACAATCCAGGATGATGATTCTATTGATGTTGACAAGGAAATAATACTTGTCTTTGTGTGATAGATTTTCCAGGAGGATATGCACAAGGATACTTTATGTGCTTTTGTTGACAACCAACACTACAACTGTAGAGCCAATCAACTTTTTGAATGATTATACACCAAAAAACTCAATTGATCATTTTTATAGCTGACTAATATTCCATTGTATAAAAACACCACATCTTTTTTATCCATTCTGTGGCTGATGGGAATTTGGGTTTTTTCCAAAATTTAGCTTTTACAAATTGTGCTGCTATAAACATGAGTGCATGTATATTACTGTGGCGTGACATTTTCAGTTTTTCTGGGAAAATACTCAGAAGGGGAATAACTGGGCTGAATGAGACTTCAAATCCCAGTTTTTTGAAGAATCTCCATACTGATTTCGACAGTGGTTGCACCAGTCTATGCTCCCACCAACAGTGGAGAAGAGCTACTTTTTCCCCACAGCCTTACCAACATTTGTTACAGGTTGATTTCTTGATGGCAGCCATTCTATCTGGAGTGAGATGGAATCTCAATGTTGTTTTAATTTGCACTTCTTGAATGACCAGAGATGTTGAACAGTTCTTCATGTATTTATTTGCATTTCTTTTTTCTTTATTTGTATTTCTTCACCTGAGAAAAGTGTTTTCATTTCAGATGCCCATTTTTGGATTGGGTCTTTGAATTTGGGGGGCTTGATGTTTTTCAGTTCTTTTTATTTTCTACATATAAGTCCTTTGTCTTAGGGACAGCTAATCTTGAGGCTTTTATAGTTAAATGGAGGCAACTTGAGACCATTCTTATAAGTGAAATAAATCAAACTCACATTTATAAACATTGTATTGTTTCCTTAGTGTAAAAAAAAAAACTTGAAAGAGTAATAAGATCCAAAATGTACAACAGATATTGTAATAATGAAAGGGAAAGAAAGTGCTCAAAAGGAAAGACGACCTAGGATAGACAAAAGGAGATAAAGAAGAAAGGAAAAGGTGTGTAGGTATACATATATAAATATATGTATGTGCATGTAAGCAAGAAAGTAACTATACTACTAATATCTGTTAGTTCATCAAAAAGAATAGTTTGTGCTGTCACTGTTGGATTTTTTATTTTTTATGCCTAGATCTTGTAACCTGAACAACTACTTATAACCTAACAATATGCAGTGTATTAACTAGTGTTAATTTCCTACCTTTGTTGAAAGTCTGCATCATTTCTATCTTTTTTCTTCTTTGCTTTTTAAAATAAAAAAATGAATTGGTCATTTTGTCTTGATACGCCCAAGGGCACAGTGGCTGCCATGACTGGATGGCTTTCTGGTTTCACTACTTGAGTCAAGGATGTCGTATTATTTCTGAATGTGAGTCTACCTATGTACTGTGTCACCCATACAGAAATGCAGGCTAGCCAAAGAATGTTACATGAACTTAACAACATTTTTTAATGTTGTCAGCCACATAGAAGTACAGTAAGGAAAGCCAATCCACCCTTTCTATGAGATGGGCAAGCCATATGGTCTTCAGGAAGAGAAATAAGCCAGTTCACCCTTCCTATGAGTTGGCAGAAGCCATTCTGTGTCTGTGAGGAGTACAGCGAGAAACAAGTTCACCCTTTCTGTGAGACACACAAACCATGTGGAGCCCAGAAAGAGAGACAAATCTCTTTGTCTTATTCATGAGTCGGCAAAAGCCATGCTGGGTCTGGAAGGAGTACAACAAGAAGCCAACATTTTCTTTTCATGAGCCGTGCAAACCATGAAGGGCCCAGGAAGACAGACAAGTCAATTAACCCTTCTTATGCACTGTGCAAACTATGTGGAGCCACAAAGAGAGATAATCCAGTTCACCATTCTTGTGAGCTGTGCAAACCATGCAAGGACCAGGAAGAGAGGCAAACCAGTTCGCTCTTCCTGTGAATTGGTAGGAGCCATACTGGGCCTAGGAGGAGTACAAAAAGAAGTTAATTCACCCTTTCTGTGAGTTGTGAAAGCCACTTGGGGCCCAGGAAGAGAGACAAGCCAATTCACCCTTCCCTTGAGCTGACTAGTGCACAGGCTGAGAATCAAGAACACAGCTCCACATCAACTCCCAGCAACTGGCTGATTCAGAAGATAGGCTCAGTTGATGTGCAAATCAGCTAAATGCTTGTATTATTTGATTGATTTTGCAGGCCTAAAGTTTGTAGTCTAAGCATCTATTAAGAGGATAACAGTATGCAATATAGCAAATATAGGGGATTTCCTTCTGTCTTATATTTGAAATCCAATATTTTTCTCATTGTTTTGCTTTGTTCTGATTTATTGTTTTGTTTTATTCAATGTTTGTTGATTGGTTTTATTCTGTTTTGTTTTATTTGATTTTGCTATGTCTGATCGTATGGACAACTATTTCAAGGATAACAAGTTATATTATGGCAGCCATTGTTGATTTCCTATTATCCTGTTTTGAAGTTCTATACCACTTTTACTGTTTTGTTTGGATTGGACTTAGTCTGTTTTTATTATTATTATTATTATTATTATTATTATTCTTGTTAGTATTTTTTTGGTACTGGGGATCAAACTCATGACCTCATATTTGCCAGCCAGGTACTTACACTGCTGAGCTAAATCCCTGACCTAGTTTATTTTATTTTGTTAGGTTTTATTTTCTTTAAAATAAAAAAGCAAAATAAAAAATAAATAAAGTACAGTAAGTTCTCAACTTGTGAACATTTGAGTTGTGAACTTTCACAGATATGAACAGACCTCACATAGGAGCATTCATAGATGCAAACGGTTGACAGAAGCAGCCTGCTTGTCACAATTATGCTCCCATATGCTCACTGTGCAGCACAATAGTGTATGGTAGTATAGCACAGATAGGGACTTACTGTATTTGTGTGTGAATGTGCATATATTTGGTTTTTATACTTTAAATTGTATATTTGTGTCAAGGTGAATAAGACTCACTTTTGTCAGAGTTATGAATGAATCCTATTTATGAAAATTCTCCCAGAAAGGAACTCATTTGTAAGCTCTGGACTCATTGTACATGGCCTTAACTCATGTATCTATTCACATAACTTTTAGGAGATGGACCCAGAACATATATGTCTTTACATTACACAGAACTTTTATGACTTTCTAAAAGTGGATCACTGGCCAAGTTTTTGAGCTTCAAGAGTTGGTCCATAGATTTCTTTTAGAAAAACTGTCTCCACTGACAGCACATTTTAGTGACACAGAATGGGCTGCAAAATTTTCTTGCTTCTGTGATTTATTCAACCTGCTCAAAGAACTCAATATGTTCAGGGGAGAACAACAACTGTGTTCAGATTGGCAGATAAAGTGGATGTACTCAAATACAAACTAGGGAGCAGTGACAAGTGAACATTGGGAGGATTTTGATGTGTTTGAAATTTCAGCAGAGATTTTGTAAGAGATTAAGTCAGGGCTTTCTTTCTCTTAGCTGGTACATGATCTCAGCTTTCCAAAGAGTTTGAGCATTACTTCCCAACTGCAAACGACTCCTGAACTGGGTAGGGATGGATCCTTGATCTATTTGTGAATAATCCAGGTCAATTGACTCTGTGCCAGAGGAGGATAGACAGTTGAGATTGCATGTGATGGTGGTCTTAAAAGTATGTTTGAGATAACTTCAAATATCCATGTATTCTGGATTAAAGTCAAAGCAAAATACCCTGAGTTTGGTATAAAAGCACTGAAAAATCTGCTTTCCTTCCCAACATCCTGTTTTGTGAAGCAGGGTTTTCTTCAGTGACACAAACAAAAATGAGACTATGGACTAGATTGGACATGACCAAGATACTTCAGATTTCACTATCTTTCATTTATCCACAGATAGGATTATTTAATTGCAGAAAACTAGCCCTAGGGCTTCCACCAATTCTGCATAATGATGAATTATGTTATTATTTCATTATGTACTACAATGTAGTAATAATAAAAATAAGGTACACAATAAATATAATATGATTAAATCATCCCCAAACCAAGTCCTACTCCTTCCAACCCCTGTCCGTGGAAATCTTGTTTTCCACACTTAAGACTACTGATCTAGAGCTTAGTTGTCATGGCCTCAGCTGCTCCAGTGCCCTTTGCCCCAGTTCACTGTTTCTCTGAAAGCTGAGATGTGTGTTGCACAACCTCATCTGAAATAGGAAGGGGCTGGGTTAGATTAACTTCTTTTTTGCAGTGTTAGCTTTCAAAGACTTTCAGTTCAATTTACACCATAGCCATTTGGGCCATGTTTTAGGCATTGTGGGGTTTTAGTAGCATTCCTGAATTCTACCTCCTAGATACCAATAATGCCTCTACCCTCTATGTGACAATAAAATTGTCTCTAGACATTGCCAAATATTTCTTGGGAGACACAGATCTCTCCCTCATTGAGAATTACTGATGTACTCTTAGTGGAAATTCATATAAACAGTATGTCTTTCTTTCATGCCTATGTCTCACTTGTGTGTGATATCTGGAATCTGGGAAGTTCATGGGCAAAACACAAGAATCAAGATGACAATTCCTGCCTTGTCCCTTAGCCTCACTATACTTGTTCTTACCATTTTGCTTCTATGAGCAGCCCTTGGTGGTCAGAGTGGGGCTTAAGGGCTGGCTTTGACTGCTCTCCTGATTCTGCTCTCCAGTCTCACCCCAGTTATGTTTCCCAGTGAGTTGCCAGCTTTCCTGCTGCCTATGGCTCTATCTTGGCCCTTCATGCCATGATCTCACCCATGTCTGTTTCTCAGCTGGCAATAACATTCTTCTTCCAGGATGTCCTGGTGTCAGGAGTGTAGGTGATACATCTACACTGGAGAATCCAGGATGGACTCTTGATCTTGACCAGTCCTACCCCTTGAAAACCATGTAAGTGTCATGAGAACAAGACAAGATGAAGTGTTTAGTGCTGTATCTGCTTAAGTCCCTCCTGTTATCACTGTCACTGTGATTTTGAGCCACCACTTAACCTTGCAGGGTACTTGTCTGGAAAAAGAAAAGGTTTAGTTGGGATCAAATAGCTTTCAAATACTTTTTTTTTTTCAGTTGTAAAATGGAATAGTTAATAACTCTGCCATTGAGGCCAAATATTCTCTCTCTACTTTGAGATTTCCTCATCTATATGTAGGAGTGACTGATTTCTCCAAATCAGTGGTTACAAATTTGTGGTTACAAAGTGTGTATATAACAGACCTCGATAAACCTAAAAGTCTTTTGTGAAGAGTAAATTCTCATTTAAAAGCAAAATATTCTTTGTTCTTGCTCTAAAAATATTTTATTTTTATTTTCCTGCCACAAAATCTATACTAGTTCACATCAATATTTTTTCACAAGCATTATGGTAAGAAAAAAAATCCAAATTTCTTAATTTAGAAATAGTGGCTAACACTTTAATGGAGATCTTGCTGGGCCTTTTATTAAAATGAACATTATTTAGAATTTTGTAAGCAATACTGTTTTACTAGTACCATGCTGATGAGGTGGAAAAGTCAGAAAGTTTGGGGAGGGCAGGTCATCTTGTGGGAGGGACCATTGTGACAGGTCTGCTCACATCATCAGAGTAGGAAGTAGTAGTCGGAAGTTAAAGCAGGACAAACTAACACTGAAAAACATTTTGAATATTTTATTAAAGTACAACATGATTACAGCTTCATTCGACAATATATCAAAGAGCTAAGACTTCTTTTAAAACACATGACAATAAATTGAAGTTCTGCATGGACATTTACCAAGTAAAATCTGATTTAGTGTTGGTGGCCTCCAATTTTGACGTGATTAGAGGAAGGTCAAAACAAAGAGACATCTGAGTTTACAATTCTTCTGCATTAAAAAATCCCCAATTATTTGTATTTGTTTCATCTGTAACAGCTCTACGATGTTTTAAGTTACTTCTTCTTATTGTTTATTGAACACATTCAGTTTAGATGTTATACAATGACAATTCCTTCTCATAGTCTGTGGTTTATATAATGGCAAAACCAGTTTGTGGACAAATATGTCTGCCTGTTGGTAAACCTAAGCTGTGGGAGCAGAAGTGGCCCAATCTTTAGAGAAACCTGTTGGCTATAGGCATTCCCTCCACTCCTCAGCCAGTGTGTTAAACTGAGAGCCATGCGGGCATCTGTCAGTGGCCAGGAGGATTTCTCCTGTACTTAGATGAACAAAACAAAAGCAAACAAAACAAACCATAACCAACAAAACCCAATGATCACTAGGTGTTTTTGCTCTGAGGGACAGAAACCCCACCTGAAGCCAGTGTGTATGTGTTTGTGTGTGCGTGCACATGCATGCGCACGCATCTGTGCTCGAGAGGCTCATTATTTCAACAAGAAATTTAGAGGTAAGAGGATCTTTGAAGCTGTTTAGTTCATGGATTCAACAATGTCCCTGACTCCTAGATGATCTCCAAATCTCCACTCTTCTTCAGCATCACCTTCATCTTGAAGCCTCAGCTTTTGTTTTTTCTTCCCTAATCTAGTAGGAGAGAAACAGGGTTATCACCCCTGGAATTAGTCTTCTTCTGTTTGGTTGGTACATGTTGGTCCTAGGCCCACTCCTGGAGTAGTTAATAATCACTGTCAAAGGAATAGCATTTGCTGATTGGTTAGAATGCCAGTGTCCTTGCTTGGAGCAGGGTGAGCTGTGTGTCCCATTCCTGAGGCACTCATGAGCCGTGGGAACATCTGAACACAGCTGGGTGCTGGGAGGGAAGGCGTTGGGAGACTCAAAGTGGCTCCTATACTAAGCTCTCCCTATCGTACAACACTGCCCCAAACTGGCCTGTTTCGTTGAATGCTAGGAATGTGCATCCCTGGGCACTTCTTTTCCCCGTCAGTAGGTATCATCCACATAGCATGAGCAGCTAAAAGGGGCAAACTGGGAACATAGATACCAACCTCAGTGGTTTACCTCAGGATCATGGGCACACTAGGAATCTCCCCAGGCTTGGAGGCTGCCCCATGCTGCTCTTAGTTGTTCCCGCTGGCGTTGTTAATGGCTTCTCTCCCTACAATGCTCCAACAACTCTATCTCCTCGCCTCTCACTGGAGTCTTTCTCTCAAACTTTATTGTGAAGTAGAAGCTGTGGGGACTAGATCTTCCCATAAACTGTTCCGAAGCCCACTCTGCCTTCATGCTCTGCCTCCCTTCTGACCCACAGGGATGACCTGGCTCCTCTCTCAGCCAGCCTGACCTGTCACTGGTTGCCCTCATCAGGGCAAAAAGCCCAGGACTCTGCCACTCTGTCAGTAGTCAAGGGCATAGAATCTTAGATCATAAAAGCAAAGCCAAACCTGTTCTTTGACCTTGTCCCTCTGGATACAGTTTTGCTTTTTCATAGCAACATGTCTTTAAAGTTGTTTAGAGTCACTGTCTCCACTTTCTCAGTTTTATTCCTCTAACCTCACTATAGTGGAGCTGTTTACCCCTTCATGTCCCTGAAACAGGTATATAGAAGTGACTCAGAACTCTTCACATCTAGTCACTTATTGTGCTTATTGACCCCTCAGTGCTTTCTTCAGCCTCTCACTCTTTTCCTCAGCTTCTAAGTGGATGCCCTCCTAAATCAGGGCTGTTCCTAAGTCTCCTCTCATGGATACACTCAAGCCAGATTTGCTGCCTGCCTTCTCTCTCCTTATCATGTCCATTTGCCTTCTCCTGCCTTCTTTCAACACACGCTTGCCTGGCTTATCTGTCCTATTCCTGTGTGAGTGTCCTTCCTCAGTGGATGACTGGCACATTTACAGGTTCAGCCGTGACCTCTTCACCTCCATCGTGGTGGAGGCAACGGCTTTCTATGTACTCTGCGTGGATGGCTAATAGGCTCTCCAAGCTCCTATGCCCTAAGCTTTGATACCTCTTCCAGTTGACCCTCAAAACTGCTTCGAGGCTAGTCTTCAGTCTCTCCTGGTCCCCTTCAGTCTATTAAAAGCCTGGTAAATGGCACAACAGTCTTGCTCCAGTCTAATGTGGAACTGGTTTTGATTTCCTATTACTACTTTCATATACTCTATCAGCAAGTCCTGGCATCTCTTCTCCAGGAAAGCTTAAATCCACCTACTTTTCTTCACCCCCAGCTTCATTCTGAATCATCTCACTGCACTTCTGGGGAAACCTGTTGTTTTCCTATCATCACCTTCAGTACAGAGGACAGAGTAATCTCATTCCTTGTAGAAAACCCTTTAGGGGCTTTCTGTTACAAGCAGAACAAAATCAAGACACCTCATCACAGCCTAAATGGCTTTACTAGATCTGGCTATGAATCTTTCAGGTCTTATCCAATGAAATCCAGGTTCCAGGCATTTTGACCCTCTTCTAGGCTTCTCTTACTTAGGACTTTTCAAGTTGCTCTGTTCCTTGATTTTTGTAGGATTTGACCTTTATTGTCATTCAGATCTCAAGACAATTGCCATAGAGGCCTTCCCTGACACTTAGCCTAAATTAACCCCTTTCCCCATCACTCTGTACCTGTAATCTTGTTCTGGAGCTTATTATTTTAATTATTTTTACATCTGTTTCTAGATTATAACCAGTAGGGAAGCGGGATTCTTGATCTTGTTTACTGCTGTTAAACAAAAATTATGCGAGGCCATGGTTTTTGGAATGAGTTTCTACACTAGGCTCAACAAACCAGAAATAAAGCAAAACAAAATAAAACAAAAACCCAACCAGCCAAACAAAAAACTCCAGGAAACTCATGACAATCAATTATGAGGTTTGTGGATAAGAGTCTCAGGCTTAATTTTTGCTACAATACATTTGGATCACATTAGGATTTCTCCCTAATAGCAAGCAATTCTGCAGCTGACACCAGCTGGATGTCCTGTGATCCAATTTAGTTCAGGCACTGTCTACCTGAAAACGACATCAGATCCCCCAGGGGTGAAGGCTCAGTGCAAAGATCACTGTGTTCTCTACCCTTAAGATGCAAATCATCAGCTGAAGGTTGTTCTATATATGCTTGCAACTGATTTGCCATAAATGGGCTTTCCCACAAGCTCCTCTCCAGGTTCAGTTAATTTGCTTAAACAGAACTCAAGGAAACACTTAGGATTACCAGTTGCTTATGAAGGATATGACAAAGACATGCCTGGAAAGGATATAGATGAAAAATATGGAACTTCCATGCCAAAACCAGGTAGGTCACCCTCTAGGAACCTCCATGATGTAAGTTATCTGTGAGCTCCTGGAAGCCAGTTGTTTGGGGTTTTTGTTATGGCTTTATAAGCATGACTAATTATATCACTGGCCACCGGTGGTCAACTAATCTTTAGTCCCAACCCTCTAATCCTATCTTGGTCTTTCTGATGACTAACCCCCGTCCTGAAGCTACCTGAGAGCTGTCAGACAACAACAAACTCAGTATACTTCAGAGATACTAAGACTTAGGAGTTGCCTGGCAGGAAATGGAATGAAGACCAAATACAATATTTCATAGTGTGAAAGGACCCATATACCAGGACCGACATACTAAGGAAGTGACCTCTGCTTTTACTCTAGAAGGAAAGTCACTTCAAAATAACAACTCACATTTTGTTCCCTATTTCTGCTTTTTTCAGGCGTTTTCTGCCTATAAAGCCAATCTGCTGAGGTCATTGAAACACTTTCCGGAAGACACACAGCAGTAAGTGCTGTGCCCAGCACTGAAGCCTGCCTCTCTTGTGATATTTCCTAATTTTGCTCTCTGATCCTCGGTTTTCTTGTTGGGAGAAAGGAACTGATGATAGCACCTCTTCTATATTGAATTTGAACACTCAGTGAGAACATTAATGCACTGAATCCATGTACTGCTCAGTAAACACTGGCTATTGCTGCTAGTACTATTGTTTTTCATTTTTGCAGTGTTGATAAGAAAGATGAGACTTTCTCCTAACAATGGAAAAGGGACTTAGCCACTACTGATGGCTGTGGCTCCCTCTTTCATTATGACAGACTCCTTAGTTTACGCATCTAGAATCTACTCTGGATGTCCAATTTTGGTTTTCTAAAAAATTTGATAATGTTTTAGATAGATTGAAAGATAAAAATACAGAATTGATGATTGTATGGAAGAATTAATGGTTTAAATTATTGAATTTTAATCATAATTAAATAATTGTAATAATACAAATGAGTTTAATAGTGAGAATAAAAGCCTATTTCCTTACTAATGCATGCATACATACTATAATTTTAGCTAAGCATCATCATAACTATTATTTGTATTTCTCCATAAATTTGCATTAATATATATCCAAAATGTAATCTGTAGAATTTTTCCTTATTATACTACTTTTCTATTTTCCACTTTAAACAATTTCATTTGGATATTTTTCATATCAACACATGTACAAGTATATGTTCTGAACAACTATGTAGCAATCCATTTTATAGAGACACTTTATTTAGTCTTCTCCTGACAGACATTTAAATTTTGTCTTTTTTTTTTTTTTTTTTTTTTGGTACGGGGATTTGAACTCATGACCTTGTGCTTGCCAGGCAGGTTCCTATGCTGCTGAGCAAAATTCTTGGCTCCTTTGTCTACTTTCTAACTACAACAAATAGTAGCATCACACTCTCTCTGTATATATTTAGCTACTTGTACAAAGGTTTCTTTAGTGAATCAGGAACAAAACAAGGATAGCCATTGTCACCACTCATTTCCAATAAAATTCTGGAAATATTAGCCAGTGCAATTAGACAAGAGAATAAAATAAAAAGAATAAGGATAGGAAAAGAAGAAGTTAAATTATTGTTACTTGCAAATGATATGCTAGAAGACCCCAAAATTCCACCAAAGGCTTGTAGATTTAATAAATAAATTCAGTAGCATAACTGGATACTAAGATAATACTAAAAAAATTTCCTGCAAATGAATAACAAACTCACTGAAAGAAAAATTAGGGAAATAACATCTATCACAATAGCATCCAAAAGCAAAAAGAAAAAGAAATACATAGGAATCAATCTAATGAAGGAAGCACTACAGTACTCTGAAAAAGGAGATTAAAGAGGACATCAGAAAATGAACAGTTCTTCCTACTCAAGCACCTTGCACTTGGATAGGAAGAACCAATGTAGTGAAAATGGCTAGACTTCCAAAATTGTTATACAAATTCAATGCAACCCTGATCAAAAGTTCAACAACATGTCTCACAGCATTAGGGAAAAAAAATCCTAAAATTCATTTGGAACACGAGACCAAGAATAGCAAAGGCAATTCTGGGCAACAAAGGTAAATCAGGGGGCATTGTAATCCCTGACTTGAAAGTATACTACAAAATGCTATGATTAAAAACAGCATGCTACAGGCAAAACAAACAAACAAAGAAACTCAAGGATCAATGGAACAGATTAGAAGGCTCATAAAAACTTCAGATATACTGAGCTACCTTATCTTTAATAAAGGTATCAAACACATTCACTGAGAGAAATATAGCCACTTTATTAAATCTTTATTAAATGGTGCTGGAAAACTGGCTTTACACACACACGAGATTAAAACTAGACCTATATCTATTTTCATGCACTAAATTAAAATCAAAATGGGCCAAAGATCTAAATATTAAAATAGAAATTAAATCTCCTAGAATATAGAATAGGTAGAACTCTTTAAAACATTGGTGTATGGAATGACTTTATGAACAAAATTGCAATTGCACAGGAACTACCACAAAGAATCAACATCTGGGATCTCACTTTTTTTTAATTGGGGCTCAAACTCACAGCCTTGCATTTGCCAGGCAGGCACTTATGTCACTGAGCTAAATCCCCAGTTTGAGCTAACTTTCCAGCTGGATCTCACCTTATTAAGCTTTTGCACAGCAAGAGCATCTACTATCAGAGTAAACAGATGACCCACAGTGTGGGAAAAACTTTTTGAGATATCTTCCTCTCACAAAAGACTACCATCTAGAGCATATAAAGAACTCAAAATAATTAGGACCTCCCCAATACAAAGACCCAATCCAAAAATGGTATAGTGATATGAATATACAGTTTTCAGATGAAGAAGTAGAAATGACAAATATAGGAAAAAATATTCAGTATCATTGGTCATCCAAGATATGCAAATTAAAACAGCATTGAGATTCAACTCCAGAAAGAATAGCCATTATCAAGAAATCAACCAATAATCAATGTTGCCAGGGCTGTGGGGAAAAGGAATCCTTTTCTACTGTTAGTGGAAGTATAGACTGGTGCAACTACTATAGAAATAAATGTGGAGATTTCTCAGAAAACTAAGACTAGTTTGACCCAGCTATCCCCTTTTTTGGTATCTTCTTGAAAGTATTAAAAGCATCATACCACATAAACATCCATGTCTATAGCAGTTTGTAATTGCTATATCTTGGAATGAACTCAAATGCATATTAACTGATGGATAAAGAAGGATAAGCTTGAGACATTTCTAGCTAAATGGCTGCACCTTGAGGTGATGCTCAAGTGAAATAAGTCAGATACGTGTGTAAATACCACATTACTTCTCTGGTGTGAGAAACTAAAAGTGTACATAAGGACCAAAATGTATAATATTGTGAAAAAGGAAGAAAATATTCAAATGGGAAGGAGAACTAGGGAGGAAGGAGAGGGAAAGGAGGGAAGGGAAAAGAAAAGTACTTTTTTCATTTCATGTTTTGTATTTATTATTGATCTACCAAATTTATTTGGGTAGAAGAAGTAAAGTACTTCAGCACTTTCTCCAACTGGCTTCTTTGCTGCAGTATTTCTGAATTATTCATATTGTTCCACTCACTTAAGATATTAAGTCACTGACATAAAATATTAAAATACTAAATAAATATATTTTAAATTCTTAGCTGTAATTAGGTGTTTTGGGGATCTCTATTCTCTATTCACAGCTTTCTTATTTTTTATACTATTGTGTAATGCAAATTTATATTTCCTGTAATTTCTCTACCTGCAAATTATGTTAATATTCAGTGAAACTAGATTTTCCTAATTACTCTTTTTATGGCAGTATTGACTGATTTCACTTTATTTTTTTACATAGAAAAAAATAAAACAGTTCAAAACAGGCAAGCAGATTAGCAGATTGCAGAGTGAGAGAACGAGGCCTCACAAGGAGGTGATCCCTGCTTGGAAACCAGAACCATGCGTGGGCTGATGACGGCGTAGGGACAGCCAGACCCAAGGCTCTCTTCCTGAGTCGGCGCCATTCGCAGACTGTGGGGGGGTTGGATCGGCTGGGGGAGAACCAGGCTCACCAGGAGGTGATTCCTCCCGGAAACCATATCATTCTCAGTGTTTTGTTGGGTTGGGTTTGATTCTGTTTTGTCTTGTTTATTTTGTTATATCTAATGACATGAGCAGCTATTTAAAAGATTGCAAGACATATTATGATCATCATTTTGAATTTGCTATTGTCTTGTTTTGGAGTCCTTTATTGTATTCATTGTTTTGCTTTCACTAGTTCTTTTCTGTTGTGTATTGTCTGACTTTTACTATGTCTACAGATATCTGCTGTTTTGAAGACAACAAGAGCCATTATGGTAACCATTGTTGATTTCATATTGTTTTGAAGTCCTGTGCTACTTACATTGGTTTGTTTTGATTGGCTTTGTTCTGTTTTATTTTGCTTGGTTTTATTCTCTTTAAAATAAAATTAAGAAATTTTTAAAAAAGAAAAACTATAGGCAAAATAACTACTGCTTATTAGTTATTGTTTTTGAAAGGATATGTTTTGTAATGTAAAGAAAAAATGTTATAGACACGTGCATAGTTTTTATGATATTAAAAATTTCATGAAATTAAAAAAAAGCTAAAATATTTTTAAAAACCCAAACCTTTCTTTTCAATGAACTAAAAACTAGCTACGTCACTATCTTAGCAATCTTGCATTATATACAATCTTCCCTTTTCCTCTGCTTTCTTTCTCCTTTCCCCCATCCCAGTTTCTCTTTTCTGTTGAACCATTTATTGCCAATTCACAATATCTTTTGTACATTTTGAATCTTTTTACTCATTCAGCTTCTCACACTAGTGGACAATATGAGGTTTATACATTTGGGTTTGATTTATTTCACTTATGAATGTGGTCTTGAGTTGCATTCATTTACCTATAAAGTCTCAAGGTTTAGAAGGAGCCAGCCAAGACCTGTGCACCTGTGCATGGGAAGATGCTTGCTTCCCATGAGTAGCCAGTGTGGGCTGGGAGAAACAGCTATGTATCCCCCTGCACAGACGCAACCATCAGGGGAGTCCTGGTGCAGCCACACAGGTGGGAGGAAGAAGCAGCCTTGCCCCCAAGCACCCACGGCCATTGGAGAAGTCTTGGTGTAGCTGCAGGGGTCTGGAGAAACCTGCACTATGCCCACCTGCCTGGGAACCTGGATTCAGAGAAACTCAGGTGCCTGGCCTATTGCCTACACTGCAGACAGCCAGTGCAAGAAGTGTCAGGGACCCTGAAACTGGCTCTTCCATAGGAACCCAAGAAATGTCAAGACAAAGGAGTAAAAGGCAATCTCAGACATCTGGCCCACACAGAACAAGTCTGGGAGACATGGGAATGGAATAAATTAGAAGCCTAATACCTGGAATTTCTGAAAGGGGAGCAGCTGAAGCAAAGAAACAATTTCTTGAGACTATAAAAGTAATCAGGTCAGAAATAATATCTCAGGTAAA